CCCAGGGCAGTGTTTGCAGCAAGCTTTAGGCAAGGGGGGGTACCCTCTGTGCCTCCCTCTAGCCCGGTCTCCTGGCAGCACGCCTGCACCCAGGGGCAACCTCCTGCTCTCCTCCTATCCTGGTGCCGCCCCATCACCTTCTGGAGACCTGTCAACCCCAGTGAGTTCAGCCTTTGCTTCAAGCACTGGCTAGCTGCACAGGGCTCGAGCTCCAACCTTCGAGGGGGACCCAGCGGTCCATGTATCCTCAGCCAGGACACGTAAGCAGGATCCTCGGGGTGGGCAGGAGGCTAGTCTAGAGAGAGGAGCTGGAGAGGGCGAGATAGGGTTGGTTTCTGCATCCCAGGGTCTGCTCACTGGCCAGGCGGAAAGGATGGCGTCACCCCTGGGCCTCAGCCAGCTCCAGCTGCTCCTACTCCTCCCCGTGGTGACCGCCCCTGCCGGGACGTGCAGTGCTGGACACACTGCCTTCCCCCAGGGAAGACGGCCCTGTCTCTGGGGCTGAGCGGCTTCCCGGCTCCAGGAGGGCCTGCAGGGAATGGAAGGGGCAGATTGTCTGGATGCTTTAGGCTTGGAAGTCAAGCAGGGCTGTATCCCTGAGTGCTGGGGGTCTGCAGGCCAAATCCACCCACAGGCATGTGTGTTTGCTTGCATGTCCCGCATTTCATGAGCATGAGTTGTCAGCATTTGGAAATCAGATTTTATTTAAATGTTCAATGTTTATTTCTCTTGAGAAAGCAGCACATCTAGGATCACTGGCCCTACATGGCCTGAGGTGAGGGCAGCTGCCCTTTGAGATGGGCATGCGCAGATGTGCCCCTCCAGGCCTCTCCCACCTGGTCCCATGGCAGTTGCTCTGTGACCTCAGGCCTGTCTGTTTCCTAGGGTTGTGCTAACAAATCACCACCAACTCAGTGGCTTAAAAGAATAGAACTTTATTCTCTTAAGGCTGTGGAGACCAGAGGCTCAAAGTGAAGGTGTTAGAAGGGGCACATGCCCTCTGCTAGGGGAGAAGGCGTCTTGATTCATCCAGCTTTTGGTGGCTCTGGGTGTCCCTGGGTGGCTCTGGGTGGCTCTGGGTGGCCCTGGGTGGCTCTGGGTGGCCCTGGG